CATATAAGTGTCACACTGGGTGTTGTATTGCTGTGGTAATTTTATTATCACCAATATTTGCTAGTTGTATCTGGGAGGTGATTGGGAACGCCTATATTTATACACACCCTATAAGTCATCTGAAGCGCCTAGGCACCTTCTAACTCTTTGAGTTTTTGTTTTGAATTTAATATGGGCTTGACACCGCATACCTTCCAGAGTTGGTGGGTGACCTCTGCAGTGAATTGGGTGCCCCGATCCGAAAAAATCTCCCGGGGGAATTCCATGCGGGAGAAAATTTGCATCAGGGCATCCGCTATGGTCTCTGCATGAACATTGGTCAGCGCCACCGCCTCTGGGCATCTAGTGGCATAATCCACTATGGTCAAGATGTACTTCTTGCCGGAGGGACTGGGTTTGGCTAGGGGTTCTATCAGGTCCACAGCTACTCTGCTAAACGGTTCCTCAATGATTGGGAGGGGATGGAGTTTTGCTTTATAGCAGTCTCCTCACTTACCTACCCTCTGGCAGGTATCACAGGTTTGGCAATATTGCTTAATATCCTTTGAGATACCTGGCCAGAAGAAGTTCTGGGTTAGACAATGTTTAGTTTGACTGACCTCTAAATCACCTGACAACTGTATGTCGTGGGCTATGCGCAGCAAATCCTGCCATTACTTTTGGGGTACTATCAATTGCTTAGTGGGAATCGGGACAGACCCAGCTACTATCTTTTCTGTGTAGCGATATAACAGTCCTTTGTCCCAGGCATATCTCTCTCCCTCCAACCCAGCCTGGCTGGTCACTATCCTGTCCCTATATACCTGTAAGGAGGGGTCTAGCGCTACCTCACTCCCAAATTCTAAGGGGGCATTCCAAGGGAGGGCAGCTGGAGAAGGGGATAAGTTGCTTACCTGAGCCTCAGAGTGAGGGGATGGAGCCGTGGTGCAGGCCTGTTGTTGGGTGATGACTGGGTACGCTTCCTGCACGGTTGGTTGGGGAACAAAGGCTGAAGTGAGCTCCCCCAGATCATTACCCAATATGACATTCACAGGCAAGTTTTGCATCAGCCCCACCTCAATGTCTCCAGATCCCGCTCCCCAATTCAAATGAACCCTGGCAGTGAGCACCCGGTAAATCGCTCCCCCTGCCACTCGCACGGCCACAGAACCTCCTGTGCGGGCCTCCTCTGGAATGAGATGGTTCTGAACCAAGGTCAAGGTGGCCCTGGAATCATGCAGCCCTTGTACATTTTTTCCTTCCAGGTGTACTACCTGGCAATGGTTCTGCCAGTTGTCAGAGGCTGCTTGGATGGCATTGGCCTTGTGGAGAACCCCCAGTTGTTACTCTGCCATTGTGGCTGGAACATTTGGAGCATTGGTCTCACTCTGCTAAGAGTGCACTGCAGCCCAGTTACTGGGAGGTAGGACCTGGTTCGACCAGTATTGGCGATTCCGGTTCTGTGGGCAGTCCCTTTGTATATGGCCCAGCTGGTTGCACGTGTGGCACCGCATCCCAACCGGGGCGGGTACCGTGGTGGGTATTGGTTAGGTGCCCCTCCTGGTCGTGGAAAGGTCGGAGCCGCAGGAGCTGGAAGAGGTGCTGTAGGTCTGGAGAATAAGCTTGGAGGGGGACATTGGTGTCGCCTGGCGTCATGATGCTCATCGGTTAGTTTACCTGCGTCATGTAAGGTAAGAGGTTTTTGGTCCCTTACCCAGTCTTGTACATCTGGTGCCAGCCCCTTAAAGAATTGCTCTAATGGGACCAGTTGTAGTAAGTCCTCGAGGGTAGTGGCTTGGGTAGCTTGTATCCACCCTATGGCAGCTCGGTGTAGGCGATGAGCCCATTGTGCATGTGAGTCCTTCTCTTGCTTTTTAAGATCCCGGAATTTGCATTGGTAGGCCTCGGGGGTAATGGCCTAACATGCCAGAATAGCCTGTTTCACCTTATGGTAGTCTCTGCTTTCCCCATCAGGTACTGTGCAGCACGCATCTGCTGCGTGACCAGCTAATTTACTGGCAAGCAGGGGTACCCAGTCTGCTGGACTGACATCATGCAGATGGCACAGTCTTTCAAAGTCCTGGAGGCATCCGTCAATGTCTTCCTCTGCATTTGTAAAGTTTTAAAACAATTGATAGGGAATTTTAATTTTTCCCTGCGTGATGGTGGATGCTGCTGGTGACCCCTCTCTGGATCGCTGGTCTGTTAGTTGCTGCCTGGCCATAATATGCTCCTGCACATCCGCCATCATTCTGGACAATATCTCAGTGAATGGTGTTTCCTGGTAGAACTCCAGTCTGATTCTGAGTTCTTTTTGGAATTCGGTTTCTTCCTCTGTGGCGGAGGAACCACATTATTTGCTCGGTTTTCCTCCATCCAATCCAACAATATTTCCCATCATGCTTTTCTTTACTGGAGAGATCATTACGTAAGAGTACACCTTTAATTACATTATCTCTCCGTAACGAAAATCATACAATATAGATCAAAAATATATAACTTGCAAAATATGTGTCTGAACTCCACGAAAGACTCTTCATTGAATAACTGGGATCTGAGTGTCCAATCTGGTGAAATACCGCTCAGATCTGTTCATTAGAATAGAAGAGCCATTCAAATGAAGTTATGGACCGGTCAGCCACAAGGCGAGAGCCCCCAAATAGTTCCAAGCAATTGTAGGCTTTGACCGGTCTTCTTTCAGGAGTTCCTACAAATTAACCATCGAAATTACACATTAATATACTTCCCAGTTGGGTATAGGACATTTGTGGGTTTCAATTAATCGAACGCCGATCTATTAAGACGTATGGGTCCATCTGTACGAACGGCATGGAAGTCCATCGGTGTTCACGAGGTCGAATAGACGATTTTAGTTTCATGCACTCGACGACCAAACACCGCTGGGTGTTCGTGAGCAAAGATGGCCGCCGCCATGTGTTCATTCATACAAATGATGACCACCCATTAAACCATTAGGGTTTTGCAGTTTCCTCGATGTTGCCAGTTGTTAATTGGAGACACACGACTCCCTTGTGTGGTCCTCCATTCGGCAGTTTGTTCGTTTTCACAAACAGTACCTTCTTCTTCTGTTCGTGTAGTTACCATACAAATGCACATGGTCTTTACAGATGGAAATAGCCTAATAAACACAGTTCTTGCATACTGAAGTGGCTAGTTTTGCCACAATCTAATTTTTAATTTCTGACTATTTGAAATCTTTGGGGGAAAAAACTTGAAACAAAAATATGTTTTAGTTTTTTATTTGAAGTTTAAAATTTTAAGAAAATTTGAATATTATTTTGTTTTCAGGATATACAATTCTTTAGTCTTTATGATGAAATATGACCGGAGATGTTGCCTTGATAATTAACTTTTAAATCAAAGTACTTAAGTTAGAATAATATATCCAGCTACATTATCTCTTATATAAGCTTGTATAATCTTGTATAATATCTGGGTGACTCTTATGATTCCTCTAAGGGTCAACTCAACTTATGATTCCTGTAAGGGTCAACTCAACTCAAAGAGTACAAAGCCATTTTCCTGGCTCTATAGAATCCTACAGTGCCCCCTCTCCCCTCCCGTTAAAACCCCTTATCTCACTAACCTGAATCCAGTGCTGAGGGACGTCAGCCAGTGGGGAGACCTTATGCACGTGCTTGGCAATGGCCGCGCTCGCATTAGGATTTCTCCCTAGGAAAGCATTATTCAATCATCATGCAAACCAAATGTCCATTTCAAACAAAAATGTCCGTCTAGTAGCTGTCTGGTAGACAGCCACTAGAGGTGGAGTTAACCCTGGATAGTAATTATTGCAGTTTCTCATGGTAAAGGGACATTGCATCCAGACCTCTTCAATGAGCTGAAGTGGTCTGGGTGCATACAGTGTCCCTTTAAGTAATAACACTTATACCTTAGGACATAATTAAAAAAAAAAAAAAATGATGAAAGCTAAATATAATCTTCCTAGTCTTTTTGTTGTTATTACAACTATTATTTTGGTGTTAAATCAATGATTAGCTATCTTCTATATATTATATCATTCTTATGATCTATAATACTTTAGATTACATAGTATACATGCAATATTGGGAGATGTACAGGCCTTAAAGAAAATGGGACCTGCGCATTACCTTGAGTCCCTATGCACATTTATATGATAAAGTAATATTCTTAATATAAAAGAAACCTAGCAAGCTTAGTATTTTGAAGATATTTATGTTGTATCAGCAATTGATAAACTTACATCACGTGGTTACTTTGTAAATATGTTGATGTCTCCTACAATGTTAGCTATTGTTTAATCACTTGTATATTGTATTTCTACCACCTACTATATCTTTCTAAGATTTGTCATTTAGAAATGTTTTAGATTTTTGAAATGCATCCTTCTCGTGTCTCTTCCCCATCGTGTCCTGCTGCCTATTATATTTCCAATTTACAATAAATATTTTTTTTTTCTTTTGCATTAACACATGTTCATTTGTAATACCTTTATTTAAAGTTCTATTAATAGATAAGAGTTGTTGACATGTTGTGAATCGTGCATAATAAACATGGTCCTTATGAATAATTAAACTATTTCGAAAATTACCCTTCCTCCGCTTTCTGACTCTTTGTTTTGAATTATATGCAAATATAACCTGTGTAGAATAAATGTTCTAAAGGTCTTACTGAAGGTCCTGTCCAAATTTATTGCCTTGTGTGTAAGGTCCACCATGATATAGACATGGACACCATGGTGATTGTTGAACCCAAGTTGAACTTTGGTTCCCAGTACCTTTACTTGGAAAAAACTTCATCCCAGTTAGTCAGTACGTGAATGCTATGTAAAACAGTAATTGATGATTCCATCCATCAAGGACTACATGAATTAAGTACCAATAGTCATTGTGAAACATCAACCACTGCAGTGATAGAGATCCACTGGCCAAAGTGTAACAGCTTGGATACAGTTGCAAGAAAAAGTATGTGAACCCTTTGGAATGATATGGATTTCTGCACAAATTGGTCATAAAATGAATGAAATATTGCCACATTTTTATTGAACACACCATGTAAACATCCACTTTTTCCACCTGCACTGTGAATGTTTACATGGTGTGTTCAATAAAAACATGGGAACATTTCATTCTTTGTGTGTTATTAGTTTAAGCAGACTGTGATTGTCTATTGTTGTGGCTTAGATGATGATCAGATCACATTTTATGACCAATTTATGCAGAAATCCATATCATTCCAAAGGCTTCACATACATAATCTAGTATATAACTCTATGATTTGAATACATATTTCTAAGTTTGCATGTTACATGCCTGTCCCGTTTCTTTAACATCCCGTTGGTTGTGGTGGAAATTGTCCGTCACTATTGTTAGTGATAAACAGTAATTTCCATGCTCAAAATTTTAACGTTAAATTAGAAGCAATTGAAAGTTTTACCATATCCCTTGAAGAGTAATAGGAGCCATTAAATACTCCTCACTAAATGCTAAGTAAAGGGTGTTTACCATGCTATAAAGTAACGATTACCAGTCATTATCTGACTGTCAATCAAACTATTTAGGATTAAAAAGTATGTAGGGGTTTAGAAAAATACCCCTTGCTGTCTCATTTGAGATTTGTTTTTTCCAAAAGCTCGAGGATGCAAGGTGAATTGTTAGTGTAAAAATCACTTAAGAGGTTTGCCTTGATGTGGCAGGTGGGGCTTACATTTAATGGCCATTGGAGTGAAACAAAAAAAACTCAATTTATTTAAATATGCATAGGGATTTGGAATATTGCACAGGTAACTATTTTCTTAGTTTTTTACTGTATATTACAAATGCCTCAACTGTTTAAAGATTAAAATACAAGACTTATACAGTCCTTTGTATAGAGAACAGCAGGATTCCCCTTTAGTCGTAGATCAACCAAAGTGTTGGATCTAGGACAAGGGGAATCGGTCAGGATAGGTGGTACCAGCTCCACCCAAAAATGGGCATAAACCCTTTATTGTAGAATTAGTAAAAAGTCACACAAAATGCTAAGGCAGTTCCCCTTATACAAGAGAAACTACCAAGCAAGCCAGTAAAATAATGAGCAAACACTAATATAAAGCCTAATACATCTTAGAGTATGGAGTCCGACTGATAGGAGAAAAATAATTGGGAAAAAAGAGCCAGAAAGTTACTTGATAATATCAAATACTGAAGATTGGTGCATCAATAAGTATCTCTGAATAAACAGTGCTACACTGTAACTTTATTAAACTGCTAAATCAAGAGAGATACAAATAGCACCTAAGTATCAATATAATAACTCTAATTCCTATAGTTACTTGTAATGTCAATCTGGGTATATAGAAATGAATACTTCGTTCTAAATGCTATTCCCCAATGAGTCTTCAAAAATGAGTGCCAGAAAGATGAACAAAGCGTTCTAAATACTATTCCCAAAGAGACTTTTAGCTAATAATCTCCTAGATAGCATGATGGTAAAAAATCCCTCTGTATAGTTAGTAAATGAAACGATCTAAGAAAAATATAAAATGGAGGGAAAGGTATAGCCAATTCAGAAATAACGTTATAATACGAACAGAAGAGGAGTTGTCTAATGACAAAGGAGAAAGAAGAGCGTATTCAAAATGTATAATAAAAGGGTTTTAACCCAAAAAAGCAATTTTATCCCTGTTCTATTATAATACCCTAGCTTCTGCTAATAAACACCTTCATGGGTGTTCTAGGCTGAATGGCTAAATTAAATACTGTCTTGCTATCAGTAGAAAACGGACTCCAAACAAATAGTCCCAAAAAGGAAAAACGGATTAACAGACAGTGATCATAGTAAAAAAGTGAGAGGAGGGTTTCCCTTAGTGCATAGTGAGTGATGCACTGTGATGTGCCGAGGTGCAGTGATAGGGAATCCCCCCGTATAACCCGACGCGCGTTTCGGAGTCTGAAACTCCTTCGTCAGGGGTTGAGAATTACCACCAAAACCCCCCCCCCCCGATATTTAAATATCCATTGACCAATCATAATAGATGTCATCACCTCGTCACTGATGACGTGGCATATGAAGTCCACGTGAGCACAATATGGGTGGAGTTAACTGTCAGCCACGTCAAGGGTTGACTTACATCCCTCGCATAAATGAAAAGCTTATCACATTGTGGATATAAAGTGGGCACAAGTAGTATGTTGTTTATTTATGTTGGGTATTGCTCTTGCAGGAAAGCCATTAAGATATATGGCGATCTGCAAGGATTTAAACCACAAGCAATGTGCTTACTGAGTCCCAAATATGATAAAGAGTAAATGTACAAATGAAATAGTACTTATTCATATAAGTGAGGCTAACGCTTAATGTATGGAGAATTGAAGGATGACATTTAGTTTTTAGTTAAGAGAGACATATATGTATATATATATCTTCCAAATTAAAGACAATCTCTCCTGGATTTCTTATATAATATGAGTGAAATAGTTTCAAAGACTAAAGATTACAACCTTATAAGGAAAGTTTGCACTTACCCTTCTATAGTATACCCACAGTGGGGAGTAAGGAAATAATAATCAATAAGTCAATCGATAAATCATAATGGGAGGGATGAAGATTGGAGGGGGGGAGGGGAGAAAAATGGACAGTAGATATTTAAAACCAGGTAATAACCTATAATGAAAATCATAAATAATAAAGTGATGTGTGATACATAAGTTGAGAAAATCCTTTAAGTTAAATGAAAGATGACTAAAATGAATAAATAGGTGTTTTCTACTGATAGCAAGACAGTATTTAATTTAGCCATTCAGCCTAGAACACCCATGAAGGTGTTTATTAGCAGAAGCTAGGGTATTATAATAGAACAGGGATAGAATTGCTTTTTTGGGTTAAAACCCTTTTATTATACATTTTGAATACGCTCTTCTTTCTCCTTTGTCATTAGACAACTCCTCTTCTGTTCGTATTATAACGTTATTTCTGAATTGGCTATACCTTTCCCTCCATTTTATATTTTTCTTAGATCGTTTCATTTACTAACTATACAGAGGGATTTTTTACCATCATGCTATCTAGGGGATTATTAGCTAAAAGTCTCTCTGGGAATAGTATTTAGAACGCTTTGTTCATCTTTCTGGCACTCATTTTTGAAGACTCATTGGGGAATAGCATTTAGAACGAAGTATTCATTTCTATATACCCAGATTGACATTACAAGTAACTATAGGAATTAGAGTTATTATATTGATACTTTGGTGCTATTTGTATCTCTCTTGATTTAGCAGTTTAATAAAGTTACAGTGTAGCACTGTTTATTCAGAGATACTTATTGATGCACCAATCTTCAGTATTTGATATTATCAAGTAACTTTCTGGCTCTTTTTTCCCAATTATTTTTCTCCTATCAGTCGGACTCCATACTCTAAGATGTATTAGGCTTTATATTAGTGTTTGCTCATTATTTTACTGGCTTGCTTGGTAGTTTCTCTTGTATAAGGGGAACTGCCTTAGCATTTTGTGTGCCTTTTTACTAATTATACAGTCCTTTGCCTCACTGTTAACCTGTCTAATCAGGGCCGATCCTAGGGTCACTGACGCCTGGGTGCAAGAATACTTTTGTCGCCCACAGGTGGTTATATTGCTAACCCCTCCTATTTGCAAACATAATACTTCTAGCCACTCCCATTTTCTTTGAAAACCACTCCACCTCTTCGTGCCCCTCAACTTCACCAGGTAACATGTCACCCACTTCCTACAGTGCCAGTTTAGCCATCAAAAAGCTTATTAGTGCTATATTTGTGCCCAACTCCCCAGTGTCATTTCTTTCACAATACAGTTTCCTAGTGCCATCTTTATCCCAAAATAGCTAATCAGTGCCATCATTGTCTCAAGACAGCTCACCAGTGTCACATTAGTGCCAAAATAGTGCTGTAGTGGGGAAATAGGGAGTTAGGCCTGTATTAGGAGGCTAGGGACTGTAGTGGGGGATATAAGGGCCGTAGTGGGGAGGATAGAGACTATTGTAAGGAAATATGGGCTATAGTGAGGTGTATGGAATGTAAAAGAGGCTAGGGGCTGTAATAGGGGCTAAGAGCTGCAATGGGGCTGTAGTGGGAGGGATAAGTGCTGTAGTACGAGAGTTAGAGGCTGTAGTAGGGGAATATGGGCTCTAGTTGGCTATACTGGGAAAGGGGCTGCAGTAGGGGTAAGGGACTGTTGGAGGCTGTAGTAGAAATCGGAGCTGCATTGGGGGGATTGGGGCTGCTGTTTGATTATATGGGCTGTAGTGGGGGGTTAAAGGCTGTAGTTGGGGGAGATATGAGTGCTTTTGCCCACCCAGGTTCAGCCCTGTGTTATACTAAGAGTGAGGCTGTGATAGAAGATACTGGTATATATATCTTATGTACCTCCTCTTTATGTAACAATATGTGTAAATGTGTGTTAGACATTTTGAAAATGAAAATGAAAACACAAATAAATTTTTTAGGGTACTCATGCCGATTTTATTTACTATCTAATTGGATATTTCAGTTTTGATGTCTTTTAAAAAAAAAAAAAAACTTTATTACTCTTTGTGATGTCTTGTGATTGAACATCACATAATGAAGAGAGATGTAAAAATGTTCTGATCCAGACAGTCAATAAAGGGTAGTGATTAGCCAACAGTAAAATAGCCAATATTTTCTGAGGGAAAATAAAAATCCTATGGAATATTTTATTTTTAAATATATTTTTCTCTGCTTTCTGTGCATTTAGTTGACATATTCAAAAGCCCTATAGAATGTTTCTTTTCTATGAAACCAGAGCTCAACACGCTTGTTTTCATTATCTGTTGCTTTGAAGCCCACATATCTTTCAACCTTTGTAAACCTTATTGATTAAATTCAGATAAAGAATATATGATTTATTTTGTTTAGAAAAATGGCAGGCGACCGTGGTGAGTCTTTGGCCGTGATTCACAATGCTTAACATTAGATAACGTTAATATATAAAAAAAAAAAAAAATAATAAAATCAAAAGATCTTCAGATTTGTTCAAAAGAAATTACAAACATACTTCATGAGAATAAAAACTAAATATGGCATCTGCTGGGCAAAAAAACAAAACCAAAAAAAAAACTGCTGTGACTGTATATTTGCTTAAAACATTTTTTTCTTA